AGCAGCCTCATTTCTGGGTATATATCCAAAAGAATTGAAAGCAGAATCTGGACATCCACGTTCATAGCCACATTATTCACAATAGCCAGGAGGTGGAAGCATTCCAGATGTCCATCAGCAGATAAATGGATAAACAAAATGTGGTGTATACAATGGAATATTATTCAGCCTTTAAAAGGAAGGAAATCCTATCATATCCTGCAACATGGATGAACATGAGGATGTTATGCTAAGTGAGATAAGCCAGTCACAAAAAGACAGATACTGTGTGATTCCGCTTGAGGTATCTAGCAAAATACATAGAAACAGAACGTAGGATGGTGAGTACCAGGGCTGGGAGGAGAGGGTAAAAAGGAGTTGTTACTGTAGTTTGTCACAGTGAAAAAGTGCTGATGATCTATTTCACAACAGTGTCAGTATACGTAACACTGCTGAACTATACACTTAAAAACGGTTAAGATGGTAAGTTTTGTGTTACATATTTTTTAACACAATAAAAATTGCAAAAAAGTTCAGAAAAAAAGGAAAATTATGACCAGTTTGTGAACACAGATGCAAAAATCCTCAACAAAATACTAACAAACTGAATCCAACACTATATGAAAAGGACTGTACACCATGACCAAGTTGGTTGGTCCAGTGGTAATATGCCAGATTAATAGGGTAAAGGGGTAAAAACTACATACTCATCTCAGTAGATGAAGGGAAAGCATTTGACAAAATCCATTACTCTTTCTTGGTAAAAACACTTAAATTAGGATTAGATGGGAACTACCTTGACCTGAAAAACGGCATCTACAAAAAAATCCACTGCTGTCATCATAGTTAATGTTAAAACCATGAAAGCTTTTCTCTTGCGATAAGGAATAAGACAAGGATACCTGCTCTCACCATTTCTGTTCAGCATTGTGCTGGAGGTTCTAGCTAGAGGAGTTAGACAAGAAAAAGATAAAATCATCCAGACTGGAAAAGAAGTAAAACTATCTCTGTTTGCAGATGGTATGGTCTTATGTATAGAAAACCTTCAAGAATCCACAGAAAAACTACTTTAGCTAGTAAACAAGCTTAGCAAGTTTGCAGGATACAACAGTTAAAAATAAACATGGAATGTACAATCCAAAAATGAAATTAAGAAAGTATTTGCCTTACAGTAGCATCAAAAATAATGAAATGGGAATATACTTAACCAAAAAAGTGTAAGATTTGTGTACTGAAAACTACAAAACATTGAAAGAAATTAAGAAGTCCTCAATAAACGCGAGGGTATTCTATGTTTATGGATTAGAAAACTTACTTAATGTTGTTAAGATCACAGTCCTGCCCAGATTGCTCCTCAGATTCAGTGAAAATTCTACCTACCTTTTACGGCAGTCCTAAAAGTCTTACAGAAATTCAAGGAAGCTAGAATAGTCAAAACACTCCAAAGAACAAAAAGAATTCAAGGACTTCAAAGCCCAAATTCCAAAGCCTGCTTCAAAGCTCTAGTAATCAAGACTGTGATACTGGCATAAGTATAGACATATAGATGAGTGAAATAGAATTCAGAGTCAGAAATAAATCTGTATATCTCCGATGAGTTTATTTTTGACACAAGGCCAAGTTAATTCAAGGAGATAGAACATCTTTTCAACAAATGATGCTGGAACAACTGAATATCCCACATGTAAGAAATGAAGTTGGGTTCATACCTCATGCTGTATACAAAAGTTAATTCAAAAATGGATCAATACTTAAATATAACAGCTAAACTATAAAACTCTTAGATGGGAACATAGGGATAAATTTTCATGACCTTGGATTTGGCAGTGGACTCTTAGAAATGACACCATCAGTACAAGCACCAAAAGAAAAAATTGATAAACTGGACTTCATCAAAATTAAAAACTTTTGTACATCAAAGAGCACTATCAGCAAAGCGAAAAGACAGCCTGCAGAACGGGAGAAGATATTTGCAAGCCACATATATGATATAAAGGAGTGTTAAAAGTTAACAAAAAGATAATCCATTTCTTAAGTGGGTTTTGAATAGACATTTCTCCAAAGAAAGTATACAAATAGCCAGTAAGCACATTAAAAGATACTAAACGTTATTAGTCATTACAGCTGCGCAAATCAAAATCACCATGAGGTATCACTTCACATCCACTACGATGCTGTAATTTTTTAAAAAGGAAAACGATAAATACTGGGTAGAATGTGGAGAAGTGGAACCTCTATGCATCACTGGTGGGAAGGTAAAGTGATGCGGCTGCTGTGGAAAACAGTTTGGTTGTTCCTCAGAAAGTTAAAGAGTTACCATACGACCCAACAGTGCCACTCCTGAACGTATACCCAAGAGAATCGAAAACGTAGTCATATAAAATCTTATACATGAATGTTCATAACATTATTCATAATCGCAGAACAGTCAGAACAGCCCAGATGTCCATCAGCTGATGAGTGGATAAACAAAATGTGGTAAATCTGCCCCATAGAATATTGTTCAGCTATAAACTAGAATCAAATACTAATACATGCTACAGCACATACAGCATGAATGAAACACAAAAGGCCGTGTATTGCATGGTTCCATTTGTATGAGATGTCCAGAATTGGCAGTCCCACAGACACAGAAGGTTACATTAGCAGTTGTCAGGGGCTGGGCAGAGGGAGGAATGAGTATGCTGCTGTTGGGTATGGAGCTTCTTTGGGTGTGATGAAAATGTCCTGGACTTAGATAGTGGTAATGGTTGCACAACCTCATGAATATACTGAAAACTACTGCACTGTATGCTTTAAAAGGGTGTCTTCCATGGCATTTGAATTATATTTCAGTTTTTTAAAAAGTCAGAGTCAAGTCTGACAATTGCTTTAGCTGGTGGAGATACTGACCTACCACTCTGAAGAAGGGGAAGGGAGGAAAGCAGGGTGTTTCTTTTCAATAACAAAATAAAAACAGTCAGTAGTCATTATAAGAATTAGAATTTATTTCATTGTACCCTAGGACCGGAAGCCCATCTAACTTGTGATATGGACCATCATCTGATTTTGGATCTGGTCTTTAACTCTTCTAAAAACAAAGGGATACAGAGTGAAAAAGCCTCTAGGGTAGAAGCAGAAAGGAGCCTTTTTTGAACTATTCCTCTTCTGGCCTGAGTTAGAAGGGACAGGTCAGAAGTCAAGGGGATTGGCCATGAAAGGGAAAGTTAACAATCTTGAAACACAAAACAAATCTTTGCCGTATATTATTTCTTCAAATACACAGGTGTGCTGAAATGTTAATCCCCTCAGGACAGCGGGGCAGGGCCTGGGCTGCACATCCACTGCCCCAGCACCTCCCACCATGTGTAGTAGGGATGTTTCCATTTCCTGTGTGTGGTATGAAATGAAGTGGTTAGGGAAGGATCACTGCTCTAGGGTCATCTTTTTAAGATTGTCTCCACCAGCCTCATTATCATCTACTGAGCACTCTTAATTGTCATTACCCCTCTTAAAATATGTCAGCTGCCTTTCAGAGAGCTGTACAGCAATTCCCAGGTGTACCCAGCTAGGAAACAACAAGGTTAATTTGGTATAATTGTAGCATATTCTTACAGAGAGAGAATGCATAATTGTTATAGTTTTATTTCCAAAATGCTTAAAAATCAAATATTAAATAATCCAGCCTGGAATTTTGTTAGAGATTGGTATCAAATTTTGTTGGATTATAAATTCCAGAAACAAGCTTTTGCATAGTTTTTAAAATCTGAATTCTTCTGACATCTCTATACTTACAATTTCAAAAAGATTATGAGTAATGACTCCAGGTCATTTTCTCCAGGTTCTTTCAACATTAGATTTCAACATTAGATGGGATATACTCGAAGGGTCTTCTGGTACCCTCACATTATTCTCTGACTTAACTGTGACCTATGAAACGTGCTAACAGTTCTTTATAAGCTGTTTGGAGCAAGAAAATAGATAAGAACCTCGGTGTGCTTGAGGTGATAGGAGCAGTCAGCAGAGAGAACGTCTGTGTGTCCTCCCTTTGTCTTCGTGCTGTCTAGGGTGTCAGTCTTCCCATGCTATGTTTTGCTTTAGTGTAACTATTAACTTCTGTTTTCTTTTAATGGATCCTTTACCATCTGAATAGTGACCAAGTGTCATTTGTAGATCAGTTTCTCTTGGTCTTTGCTGGGAAATATGTTTTGCTAGGAATACATTTTGACTGGATAGTTCTTCTTTTGACTTAGTCAACTTAAGAACTTCTCCAAATTGATGACCTAATTTCCTAAACATGTAAGTAGAAGTAATACTTCATATTTTTAAAAGATTAAATTGCTGGGTTTTGTTTTTGTTTTAATATTGGTAATTTTTAAGGTTTGGGGATATAATTTTGTTTCACAGATTAGTTTATGTTTATCGTATCCACAGCCTCATTTTGACTTGTTTTCAGTTTGGGTGTCCATTCTGGTTCGGTTCTTACGTTTTAGTGAGAAAAATCAAGGGACATAGAACATTGGTTTTCCAGTAAAGTACTGCCAACAGCCACCAGACACTGACTGGGCATTTCCCCCAACCAAGGGTCCGTGCTGCATGACTTTTAGCTGGTGGGGACCTTATGGCCTAACTGGCCTCTCTCTGTTGAACCCTAGGGCTCCTTAGAGCCCCATTTGAAATCATGGCTCTTTTTAAAAATAGTTAAAAGTTACGAGATTTTTTGTTTACTGTGCCTAATACTTTCAGAAGTGACATATAATAAAATATTTTATATGCTTTTTCATCTGAGCTCATGATGTGTTCTCTACCAAAATGTCTAGAGAAATGCAGATTGTCTATTTGCAAGGATTTTCTTAGTACATGAACATCATGTAAATATCCAAGAATTAGGAACACTTTTATTTACGAATACTAAAAGCTGTAAATTGAAACATTTTCAGAATACATTTTTAGAATATTCAAAATGATAGTGGAAATGACACCTGTAGTTTTATTCAAAGCAAGATGGAGAATTTTCATTTAGTAATCTTTATTTCCTTTAGGGTTTAATGAAGAAATTCATTCGATGTTCTACACGTGTAACTGTGGGAACTATTAAAAAATTTCTAAGTTTAAAACTAAAACTTCCAAGTTCTTACGAGGTAAGCTAATAATCTAATCTTGATCATTTTGGCAATTATAATCTGAAATAAAATTCTAACAAAAAAATAAAAACTGAATATATATATATTAATTGATTTTTGTGGAAACTGATCATTTTCATGTTAAAATTTTAATTTTTAGAATGTAATATTCTGTTTAGGCAATCTGCATTTTTTAAATTTAATATCCTGATTAAAACATGATACTAATAAACATAGCATTTTATAATTATAGGAGATATTTAAATAACTTTACATTAAGTATTCTTGAAATAAATATTGTAGCTAAATGGATTCCTTTTATGCCAACATTCTTGATGGTGTGTCTTTTTAAATTTGCGACCTTTTAGATCCATTTTAACCAATTCTTCATAGACTTCTTTTTCAGAATGTAAAATACTGTCCTTTTATCAAAAGGAATTTTGTAATTAATGTTCCTTTAGTTCCATGATATGCAAAAGTGATATTATTTAGCACTAGGTAAAACCAGCACATTGTATCTGCATCAGCGTAGTTTACTAGTTTCTTTACAGGAGAGAGCAGTTGCCCTGATATTGATCACAGCACAACTTGTAATGTGTTCAGTGTTTAGAGAATGTTTATGATCCTAGGAATATGGCTGTAATTTATATCATAATGTGGAAACGTGGCTACCACTTCTCATCTACCCAAATGGCACTCTTAACAACTTGTATTAATTTCCTCTTCCACCCCTTTGGGTTCCGCTAGTAGCATCTTAAAAAACTAAAGCCAAGGCTAAGTTTCTCATATAAGCAAAGACATCAGAGTAACATAGTTTTTAGGCTTATGTACAATAATATTCATATGAACAGTTATCATAGCAGAAATAAAATAGAATTTGAACATAGACATTGACAAGTATTAAGTCTCTATTTTGAGGAAGCCCCTCATCCTGAACTTATTTTAAAATATCTTGCAGATGAATAATTAATCTGTGAAATAAAAATTCTTATGTGTCCAGCCCTACAAATAATAAAAAATTTCCAGAGATAGCAACTTCTACATTAAAAAAAAAATTGTGAACGTTAATCAAAGCCCTATGTACTTGGTAAAAGTAAAAGATAATAACTTATAGATATAGCAACAGTGAAAATAGAATATTAAATTGTTTTTATAATTTGGTTTTGCACTTATTCTCTTCCTGCAAAATACCCCTTGCAGTTTTATTGCTTTACTTGTAAGTGTGACTCATTGAGTTATTTTCTAGCTTTCAGGAAGTTGTTAGAGCTGAGAGAACTGTTACTCTCATACACACTGTCTGACTGCTGGCACTTACTGCATTTCTCTGTAGAAAAGGATGGAAGGGAAGAGACTGAACCCACTGACAGCTCCTTATCTCTCCCACTGCAAAGGGCTTTCCCTATGATTTTTAGTAATATTTACTGTTTCCCCTTTATTTTGCTGCCCAACCTGTAAGGGGATGATTTAGTGAGACACCTAACAGCTGAAGCTTCTGTAGCAGCATTGGTGGTTGGAGCAGGATAGTTTGGTTTTAAATGACAATCAAAGAAGCAGTGTACCTGATTAGGAATTGCGTACTAAGTAAGTCCTTTTACTTCTTCACTTATGCATTTGTTTTACAGGCAAGATAAAGAAAATAGAATTATCTACTTTGTGCTTTTAAAAATAAAATGGTGTCTGAAGAACATTTTGAGGTCCACTTAAATCACCATAAATCAAAACATCAATATAATTTAGCTAATAATTTGTCTAGTACAATTGGAACTGTACTGATTTTAGACTAACAGTTCAAAACTCTAGTCTCTGTCTAGCCAGACAAGAATTATTTAAAATCCATTCTTCTTCCCCCTTTTCACACTTTAAATTAAATCCTATCAGTTTGCTTTTAATATCTAGAGAACCGAAATGTTTTATTTATAGGGACCTATGATAAATGTTTGTTTAATGATGCCCTGTTGAATTCGTAAATCATAGCCACAGCTCCTAGTAACTCTGGAGCAGAAATGAGCTCTGGCATGAGTATGACCCTTTTTTGAAGTTCCCTACAAGTTGGAAAGAGGTCCCTGAGGTATTACGCAAGTTACCAACCAGACAAAGCAGAGAGCTGCAGAGCCCTGGCAGATGCAGGCCTGAAGCACTGTCCTGAGCTTGGATGCCTCGAAGGCCCCAGAAACCATACCCACATCCATCCTTTACCCTCTTCAAATACAAACTAATGAAAAAGAGGACAGCAGCTCCTTCACATTTTGGGAAGGTGAAAGGATCCAAAAGGCAAAGGTGCCGTGAGGAACTGTGAGGTGTCCACCATTTCTTCTCATTCAGTAAGAGGCTGTCACAGAAATGTCTAAAATCTCAAAGACTGCACAGAGACGTAGACTAAGAAAGCTCAACTGCATTTCAAAACTGTGTGTGATCTTGAGATAGGACTGTGTAGGACAGGACAGACGCTGCTTCATGTTATGTCTGAATTGTTAATACCTGCGAGGTGAACTAGTGCTCTTGGCAGAAAGAGTCAGTGTTCTTTTTAAATAATGGATACTACTTCTATTTTGTTGTAGCTATTTGAATCTTTTTTGAAATTTGGAAAACAATGTGTAAAACACTAATGAATTCAAAATTAACTTCTGTTAATGGATCTGTAACTGTTCTTTTTAAAGTTGGATGTGCTGTGCAATGGTGAAATTATGGGGAAGGATCACACTATGGAATTCATCTACATGACAAGATGGAGACTAAGAGGCGAAAACGTAAATTGCTTTTATCTTTACCTATGTGTGTATTTAGTTACTTACCATTACGTTACTCAAATTTAGCAGTATTACTTAGATTCTTATTTAAAAAAAAAACTAACTAGGGAAAGAGAAGAAACTAGTTCCTTTTATTGTTTCTCTCAGCTACTCCATGATAATTGGTCCCAAGTACAAGACCAAGGGCTGTGTTGAATGTGGTTTTGTTATATTTAAGGTGAGTTTAAAACCCCCTCTGAATGTGTTCAGAACTCTACTAACCTAGAGACGGAGGAGATGGCACTTACATTTTTTTAAACCCCAATAAAATGCGGGAACTTTCAAGTTCTGCCCTGACTAATACGTTTAATGGTGAAGATATTATTTTTTGGTTGTGGTAGAGGGAACAGATAGGGTAGAATCTAGATAATCTTTTTTTCAGCTACCTCTTTTACATTCAAAGTATAAAATCGGACCAAAGGGTAAGTGAGTTTGCAGTGGTTTCTGATGCCAGAATTAGGTTATTGTGCAATATGGAAGAAGTGATTAAAAGGAGAAACCTAAGACAATTAAAAAAAAAATCCAAAAGGGAACTTCTGTATTTTGAACTATATCTTTGATGAGGGTTAATTAGAAGTTTCAAGCATGCCTTATCTGAGTTGTATGTAACATTGATATCAGGGAAATTTGAAGGACTAAGGATTATAAGGATGATACGTAGCCATAAGGAATATAGTAGTAACTATGAAAAACACAAAATTAAGACATGTAGCCTCACATAATTACAGTGGTTCAAAAACATACTTATATTGAATGTCAATATCTATGGAACTGTTTTTTGTTTTCCAGAAGAACTATCTTGATACGATATAATAATAAATGGAGCACCTAACTTGTTAAGTCAGAATTTTTTTTTTCTATTTGCATCCCACTTGACGAAGCCTTCCTTGTGAGGCTGAATGCTTGTGACCAAGAGAAGCAAATTATGTTATAGTCCCAGCCACCAACTAGTTGTGTGCCCTTGAAGAGCTCATGAAACCTCTTAGGGCTCATTTTTTTAAAAATCTAATTGTCTTTTTATTTGGTAAATCACTACTTGCCTTACTATGACATTTTATATATTTCTAAATGGTGTACATACATCACTCATTTAATCCTTCTAACTAAAATGTTTCTGGTACCACATGCAGATTACAGAGCAAGCCAATTCTCTCTTGCCCAGCACTGCTGGGGCCTGATTATTGTGATTATTACACATAATACTGATATAATATTGATATAATTTTAGCTTTCTTTGATGGTTCATTGGACATTTCAGTTTGTGTTAGTGCTTGAAATCGTCATTATGAATAGGTTTGCCTTAAGGCTGAAGAGATGTAACTAGTTGTCCAGTGCAGGATCTGTGCTGGCACTCATTTGTCCTTCCCAAGATCACTTCCCAAAGGTCGCCCACACTGCCGGTTATTTTAATGTCAAAGCACAGAAGAGCTAATTAATAGAAATTGTTATTAATAAAGAGTTAAATCAGTCCTTACTACAATTATGCTTCTGATTACACATTTCTGAGTAGTTTAAATTCCCTGGTTGTTAAAGGCATATTTTAATAAAAGTTGGTTCAAAAAATGGTTTAGTACCTTATGATTTTTATACAGGTAATAAATGAAAAAGTTACCACATTTTGTACTGAGTACAACAGTAAAATACTGTATTAGCCCATTTCCTTTTTTCCAGCATGACAAACCTGATTTTTGTTTGTTCTCCTCTAAACCTGTTTTTCCCTCAGCCTTCACAGTCTCAGCAGTTCCAAGATTAGTAGTTTCATTTTTCCCATTTCTCAGACCAAAATCCCTCAAGTCAATCCTGGTTAGTTTCATCCATCCTTAGCAAATTCTCTGACCCCTTCCATCAAAATACAATAATCAGAATCCAGTTATATCTTACACCTCCATTCTGCCGTTCTGGTCCCTCCACCATCACTGTTGCCCAGATTTCTACAGATTCTCCTCCCTGGTCTCCATGTGTCCATCCACTCTTGCTCCTGTCTTCACCCAGCACAGCAGCCAGGGTGACCCTCTCAGCACCAGTTAGGACGTGCCACCTCTGTGCTCTAAATCTCCAGTAACACCTAGTGTCATTTAGACAAAAGCCTAAGTCCTTCCGGGGACCTATAGATGGCAGGCTCCGCACGGTTTTCCCCAGACACCTCCCTGATCTGACCCTTTGCTCCCTCCCTCTGGCTTCACCGGCCTCTGTGTTTCTTCTAAAATGCCAGGCTTGCCTTCTCCTCCCCAAGTATTCATCTAACTTGTTCCCTTTACCCCTTTCACTCAGAATTTTGCTTCTACATCACCTCCTCGGTGAGACCTCTGACTTTGCTTAATAGTACAACTCCCCCGCCCAGCCTGGCACTCAGTCCCTTTTCATGCCTTGCTGTTCTCCATCGTATTTCATACCGTCTGACACACCGTGCCTCTGATGCGTGTTGATTGTTTGTCCTCAATTATACGTAGTCTGAGGGCAGGGAAGAGGATTTGTTCACTGCTCAGTCTCCAGCACCTCAAGCAGTGCCTGGTACAGATACGTGATAAGTATCTGATCGAAGAGTGAATGAAAGTCTAGTCTTTTATAAGGTAATGGCTATGTGGAATATATCCTAAAGGTCATTTCGTTTATTTCCATCTGTTTCCCATGTGTTTTTTGTTAAACAAATTTTAAGCTTTTGCTCATGTTTCAATTATGTTATTATAATAGTACCTGATGAATTCTGACAGTTGGAGTGAATGGACAGATTAGCAATAAAACAGTTCTTTCTTAAGCCCCTCACGGCATATTTGCTGCAGTCACATCCCTTCCCATCTCTACCCTCCATTGCCAGCCAGATGCCAGGATGTCTGAAAAGCTCACATTACTCTACCTACTGGCACTGCTAACTGGCTCTGCCTTGGGCAGGGGTCAGTGTATTTCCTAAACTAATGACCACCTTATGGTTCTTTTACTTCTAGTAGTTTTTTATATTAAACATTTTAATCCACCTGGGATTTGTTCATTTACACACACATACCTGCCATGAGGCTAAGACTCTAACTTACCCTAGGAACGTTTTTGCCAGAAATACAATTTATATAGTAACCCATAATTTGCCTCAGTGTTTACACCATTATCTATGCATGTGTATCTAGACATATGTGTACACACACAGATGTGTACATCGACATACCTGGACGTTCTTTTTGTTCTTCTGAGCAGGACTTACTCTACACCAGCATTGCACATTATAGCTTTTGTAAAAATGTGATCACTAACACCCCTATCTAAAACCCCTTAATTTTCCATTTTCTTCAGGATATGTTTAAATAAAGCCCGAATTAACTTATAAGGAAAGGAGTCCGGCCTTTTAGGTTGCTTTATGATATGTATCAGTTATCTGTTAGGGCAAAGCTCATTATTATTATTATTTTAAAAACTGTGTTGGCTATTTATCCCCACATATTTTCTTTCAGGTGAGCTTGAGAATGGGATTGTGAATGGCATTGGATTAAATTTCTAGGTGGATTTGGCTGGCATTTGCAGTCTTTTATTGTCTTTGGTGCTGTGGGGTGTCCTCTTAAGCTCTGCACTCTTCCGTGTCTGAGTGAAGCCTGTGGTTTTCGCCCCTCTTCACGTTGGATGCCGCCTCTGCCCTTCTGGGTCTTTGGCCTCAGGCTAGGCTACCCTGTATTCAGATCACCTCTTTACCTTGACCTATTTCTAGACTCCTAGGAAGAGTCTTAGGAAGTTGACTTTGCCTTGGTTTCTCGAGCAGGATGTTTCTGTCTGTAAGGCTCCTCCCCTTTGTCCTGGGGCAGTTCCACTTAGGCTCAGCCTCTTTTCTGTCGTCTCTGCTCTTTCTGGATCCTTGTCCTCATTGTGAAGCATTGATTTTCAGAAGATGTTTATCTTTAGGAATCAAGTATCTGGTCAAACTTAGCTAACTCCTAGAAATTTTTCAGTTCATAACAATATTTATGCCTCAAGATTGGTGTTCATCTTTTGCTTACTAGTAGGAGAAAACGTACCTTTTTTTCAAACCGTTGCTTCTCAAACTTAAATGCAAATTATAAATCACCTGGGGATCTTGGTAAAATACAGATTCTGACTCAGTAGTCCTAGGGTAGGACAAAAGTTCAGCATTTCTAACAAGCTCCCAGGGGATGCCAGTGCATCTGATCTTTGGACCATCTTTTAGTAAGAAGATTTTAGGAGACATGATTTATGACCACTGGCTTACCCTGTGACCCTGTGGTTTCCACATCTGTAAGTTGAGAGTGTAGAATTCAAGAATTAGATTTCAGTTTGGGAGGGACTTAGTCACCAATCTGATATGTGGATTCTGTTTATAATATCCGTGCGGTGTTCATCACAGTTTTTGAAACAAGATGAAATCATATATATTGTTTTGCAACTTCTTTCTCTCATTTGTTAATATGTCTTGTGAAAAATTAGTAAACTTGAAAGTTGTTCTTTGTAAAAGTTCATAGTATTCCATTTGTGTGGCTATAGCATGATGTGATTAAGGTTTTTCTTTTTTTCAAATATTTGACACTGCAAGCAATACCTTGTTCCAGTACATACATGCTTTTGCACATGTGTAAGCATGTCAACTGGCTAAATTCCAGATGTGGTTTTACAGCAGAGTGCGCATGTTTTAAATTTTGATAGACTGATAAATTGTTCCCTAAAAAAGTTTTAGCAGTTTATAATCATACCAGCAATGTATGGGTGCCCGTTTTCTGATCTCCTCACCAACACAACGTCTTTTCGGCTTTGCATTTCTTGTGTGACATCTCCTCCCATGTCCGTTGCCCTCTTTTTCCTGCCGTGGAGTCTTTTTCTTACTGACTTCTGGGTGCTCTCTGTGTGTCCTGGATATTCCTATTTTGCTATGGATGTCGCAGTGATTTCTTCCCAGTTGTGTCCTGCCCAGTTTTGCCTCAGTTTTTTGATCCTTCAAATTGGGATAACACCTATCAAAAGTTTTTAGTCAAAACTAATGAAATACAGTACTTAGCAGGGTGCCCGACATAATGAATGTAATTTTCTGATAGCTTACGTGTGTTGGCTCTCACCACTGCTGTAACTCTCTCCTCCTGCCCCTGGCCCCAGCCCGGGAGCACGCCGTGGGCATCTGCCTCTTCAGCCTCACCCTCTCGGGAGCTTGTGCTCTTCCCACTCCCCTCACCTCCCCTCACCTCGGGTAGCTTGAGGACCTACTCTCAGAACTCCCTCCTTTCCCACATAACCCTTGTTGGCCTTTTCCCTTCCAGCAACCGCTGCCAGTCCCGACCTAGAGTTACTGCACCATGTTTGTCTTGCTGTGCTTCGTTTGCATGTTACCAAGCAATTTGAGGGAAAGCAAACCTCTGTCTTGACTAATACAAAAGGGATTAATAAGAAAAAACTAATCATTTAGTGAAATTTGCCTCTTTCCACCCCAAATCTTGTTAAATGCTATTTGTGACTTGCATAGTTAGGCAAAGTCTGATAGGCCAGAGTGTGGGGACTCTTCAGAGAGAAAAGGGGGGAGGTTGTCAGGGATAACAGTGCTGGGCGTGTCTTAAAGCATGTGGCTGAGCCCTGTGCAGAAATTCAAGGACTGCCTTCTAGGGAAAGGTCTTTTAGGAAATGGAGAATTTCTGAAATTTTATTTAAAAGGCTGCCAATATATTTGTTTAAATCACTGCTTAAATATTCTTCTTTTTTTTTTCTGGTGGCGGGGGTAGGTAGCTAGGTTTAGTTAATTTATTTGTTTGTTTGTTTGTTTATGAGGAGGGACTGGGGATTGAACCCAGGACCTCATGCATGCTAAGCATGCACTTTATCACTGAGCTATATTCTCCCCCGCCTTAAATATTCTTTCGAAGTATACTTTAAAAAGCTGCTCTGGGATGTTAGATTTATCTATATTTCATAATTCCATTACAGTTAAAATGTTTGTCTTTAGTAAGTGCTTAGCATAATATTGAAAAATCACAATTTGGAAATGATTTTTTTAATACGAATGGTTAAACTGTTAAAAAAAAAAAGTTAGTGGATTTACAAATGAATCTACTCACTAGTTAAAAGTATCTTCATTCATGGATTTACTCCCAAAATATTTTTTGACCGGCTGCTGTGTGCCAGGTCTGTGACTTAGCTATTAAGACCTAAGACTGTGGCAAATATGAGTAAGATATAGTCTCAAGGAGCTCATACCCTAACACTATCAAAATAGTTATGGAGACTGAGAGTCTAATCTGAACAATGTAAAGAACCTAATCTAAAACAGAAAATGGATCCTTACAGGCTGAGGCAAGTTCCCTGCCCCTCTCAGAGCTCTGAGCCCCTTCCGCAGTGTTACTTTCAGGGTGTTGAAGAGGAGATCTAGGTGAGATTAGTTACAGGAAGGGACAGAAGGAAGAGGGTGCCCCTCCTGGATTGAGGAGGCAAGGGTTCTCTAAGGAATTAGCATTTGAAGAGGAGATGGAAAGGTCACCAATGTGGTAATATTTGCAAAATATTAACAAGACTCATATTTAGATACTAAAATTATTTCAAGCTAAATTTACCAGCCACTGAGTTATTAAAATCTTTTTCCAAAAACAACTATCATATTTTGGACAGTGTTTACTTAAAGTTAATCATGCTGACTCATGTTTGACGTTCAGATATTTTAAATAATCAGTTTTAAATATGTACCCAGTTGTGGATGCCTCTTATCTGATGAGTTCATCTCCTCCGCAGTTTCGGTGTCTGAACTGCTCATCTTCGCAAGTCTGCCCTCAGGATGGCCCTTTGTATCAGGTAAGAGGCACTCACGACTGTACATATGACCCTCATGATGCCTGTTGCCAAGGTGATGCCTGTCGCCAAGGTGATGCCTTCATCCCAAACTCAGGTTCCTGAGACATGGAATTTTGTGAAACTAATACTCATTTGAGCTATGAAACTTCATCTTTTCAACTTATGTCCCCAAAGTTTCCCATTATTTTAGTTCTCTTGAACTATCTAATTTTACTGAACTAAAAATGAAATTTTAAATGATAATTAAGGCCATTATTTATGAATCAGGGATTTTTAATAATTACCAATTTCGGCCCTTGAGAAATCTCTGCTCCGTATTGATCTCTACTCCATTCTTAACAGTTGCGTGTGCATGTGTGTGTATGTGTTTAATTAATCATCCATCCCCAAGTGAAAGATAAAACGCCAGACTAGGTGAAGCCGGATAACAGCAGCAGCTAAATGTGGCTGTGGGCTTGCTTACTGGGCCTGCCCTGGGCTCTTGAGTTAGCGCTTCGAATAGATAAATGACCATGACCTAAATTTAGTAATGCTCCAAGAAAACTTGAACATGCCTCTGAGGAAAGTTTGTCTAATAAGAAAAGACTAAGTGTTAGTATAGTAAGGATTAGTGTTGAGTACAAAGATGATCTGTGGTCAGCCTTAATCCATAGGTTAATCAGAGCATTTCTTTAAAATCTCTGTTCTTTTCTCTCAGAAATTAGTCTTTATCCTTATTTCCTAAGGATGAAGGCGCTAAGAAAGGAGAACTATAATTACATAACAAACTTAACCAGCAGATTTACCTTTGATGTTGCAGTTTTAGGGTTGGGACAAATGAATGTATGTTAAGTATTAAAAGAACCATTTCAAATAAAAAAATGTTAAATTGGCAAACTAACATTTCCCTCAGTCTCATTGTCAGTGCTGTGATAATGGAAATGCCTACACTGTCATTAAAATGTGTGGTTCTGGTTTTTTTTTTTTGTACTCCAGTGTACTTCTATTTAATTCTATTTTTTCTTTAAATAGAAACAAACAGTATTGCAAATGGCAGGTTGGTAAAATTAGCATGTTATACGTTACAAATGTGTTGAGATTATCATGTTATTTCATTAGTAAGAGGTATGTATCCACTTTCATCACATAAAACAAATATTAACCCCCCAAAAAGACTTTCTTGGTCATATTCCACTGAGTTAAGATCATTATATAATAGATACCACCCCCCACACCCCACCCAACACACACACAAATCCAGCTTTTTACTGATGGGATCATTTCAGTGTTTCCTATAGCCAGTTAGGTATCCATTTTTCCCCCAAACACAGACATCACCTCATTGCTGTGGCTAATTGCATTTTCCTTCCTAGCCTTTGACAACCAGACCTTTGTTAATGCTGTTCATCAGTATATTAGACTTAGGTCATCCTTCCAAAACATTACAGAAGACCCAGATGCTGATGTAAATTGTGCTCCCCAAAAGTACTGTCCTCCTCCTCCATGCAGATATATCCCTGACCCCCTCCCATTTTTGTTCACTCTTCCTGTTTTCACTGAATCTGTCATGCTTGGAAAAAAGTATTTATTCATAGGCTTTAAGAAACATTATGCTTTGTTTACTTAATAAATCAAATAATCAGTTAATTATGAAGTTACATAAAATTTTTATACAAAATTTAGCAATTGCTTATTCCAGTTGAACTTCAAAATTAGATTCATTTTCCAGAGTAAAGACTTCCTTCTATTCAAAATGTGTTGCTTCTTAATACACACTGGTTAAGTCCTGGGTTTTTAGTAATGGAATAAGCAAAATTAGCCACCATAAAGGCCAAGAGAAAATGATTTAGGGAAAAAGATCCCTCTCCTTACGTTTTGCAGTTGAGGGCAGAGGGTGAGTAAATAATTTAACTGAGCTGGTGAGATGTGTCTAGGTGGTTCAGCTGCTTTTAGCTTCACAGCTGATTGGGGCATGAATTGTAGTGATGCCCCTGCCTTTAGTTATAACACATACATACATGGCTTTTTGCTTTTACGTGGCACTGATGCCTGCTTACTTCCTGAGAAATAAAGCTGTTCTTAAACTCTAACCTAAAGTATTAGAGAACAACTGGAATAAGATCAAATTTTCAAAAATTCACACACATTTCCTTTTCTTTCTTCAACACTTCATTATGGATTATAGTTCTGTCAGAAAGTTGAACTTGTGATTAATTAATAGGATGCACCTATAGCCAAAAATCAGCTAGAAAATTTCAAGGAAAAACTTACCACTATTTTACTAAAAGAAAATATTATGTGTGTAGCTTTATACTATTAAGTTTTTTAAATTTGTGAAAATTTCCTGAAATAGACAGTTTTCTGGGAAAATACCAGTGGACCAAAATTTACCCCAAAAAAGAGGAAAACGTAAATTACTAAGTCATGAAAGACATAAAAAAAATTATTAAAGAATTGCTTCCTTAAAGGATACCTAGATATAAAACTACTTTTAACGGTCCATAGTCTCAGATTTTCAAGGAATGAATCATTGCCATTCTAAATTGTTTTAAATCATTGAAAAAGATGGAATTTTCCAAATTATTTTGCAAAAGTAACAATCGTGATAGCAAAAAACTGACAGAGGTCCCCCAACTAGAAAATGAGTATTATATCTCATTTTGAATATAAACACAAAAGTGATAATAAAATACACTAAAATAATATGCTAAAAGAATAATAAACCAAGATGAAATAGTATTTCTATCAGAAATGCAAGAATGGCTTAATATTGGGGGAAAGGAATTTTATATATGTATATTAGAAACATATTTTTTACACACACATTAAGTCAAATAAATATCAGTAGATGCCAAAAAGGCATTTGATAAAATTCAGTAAGTCCTATTTTTTCTACCAGCTTCTCCTTTCGAAATGTTTCAAAACAACAAAAAAGTTGAAATAATACAGAAGAACCTTCTTTTTCTTTTACTTAGCTTTACCAGTTAACATTTTGCTTCATTTTTTGCCCCCTTTCCCTTTCTTCCTCTTCCCCATCCTCATCTTGTTAGTTTCCTTATAAATCTATCTGTTGTTTCTTTATGGAACACTTGAAAGTAAATTGTAAGTATCATGACATTGACCCTTAAATACTAAGATCAAAGCCCTTCTCATATATAACCAAGATACCACTTCACACACAAGAAATTTAAATAGGATATCAAATATCCCAGAGATGTCAGTCCTCCTATAATTAAATTATGAAGTTTAAAATAGTTTCAGACACACTTTTACCAGCTTCTTGTTTAACCTGACAAAGTCAATCATTCTGAAGTCCATCAAGAACTACAGATTGGTGCTTCTGGTCAGTCACATTTTAAATGACTGGTCAGGGGCACATGCACCGCGACATAGTGAAGTGTATTTTAAACCGAAGTAATTAAAATAGTACGTTAACTTAAACACAGACACACGAATAAAAAAAAGAGCTCAGTAGTACGTATGAATCTATAGAGTATTTCCAATGAGTGGAGGGTAAAAAGAGTCATTACCACATATCTGTTGAGCCCTTCAGTATGCCCTGGGCACTCTTTTAGGCCCTGAGAACACAAGTAAAAATGAAAAAAAAAAAAGTGTTCCTCCCATGGAGTTTGCACTCTAATGACGGTAACCAATGAAAAATAAATGAGTAAGGTATATAGTGGTGGAAGAAAAAGTAGATAGAGTATTTTAGATAAGATAGCCAAGGGAAGACTTCTCTTTCAGGTGGTGATTTCTGATCAACAAGAAGTGAGAGTCATAGGCATGTGTCTCCCTGGGGAAGGGCACTCCAGCCCGAGGCAACACAGCGCAGAGCTCTAGAGGGGAGGTCACGTCTGGCTGTTTGAGGGCTGCAAGGCGGCCGAGGGGCCTGGCGCGGAGGCAGTAGTGGCAGGGGAATCGGTGAACTTGGAGCGGAGATGTTGGGGGTGGGGTGTGACCTAGTAGGGTTTGTTTTCAGTTAATGGTACTGAGACTGTTGGTGGTGGTGACGGAGGAGGAAGGGTTCAGTCCATATCTCCCATTACATGAGTTTGTCATTAAAATGCTACATATAAAAATGATACCATCAAATATCAGGAGGAAGACATAGCTGAATAATCTCAGAATGGGGATGGACTTTCTCACTGTACATGTACAAGGAAAAAGACAAACTATTAATATTGAAAAGAACATGGCAAAAATACCATAAATAAGGAATATTTGTAACATATGACAGAAAGACTTGATGTCCTTAATACATGAAGAATCTATATAAATCTGTAGGACAAAAGTTCACATTTTCATAGGAAAATGAACAAGACATGATTAGACAAGTCACAAAAGAAAGAAACACACTGGCTAATAAGTGTACAGAGATGGTTAACTTCTTTAGAAGTCGAGAAATGAAAGAAATAAAATACTATTTTATGCTTATTCAATTTCCAAGTTGAGAGAGAGAAAAGGAATAGTACTCACGATTGATGAGGCTGTTGAAGAATGAGCACCCATATTTCTTCGAGAAATGTGAAAATAGAACAACTTCGTTAAGTCCAGTGTGACAGCATTTATAAAAAGCCCTTTAAAATGTTGGTGCTGTCTGAATCAGCAGTCCCACTCCTGGGAACTAACGCTGGAGGTGCAGGGGAGGTGGGAAGCTTATGGAACTTTTAAATGGACAGAATTCTTACATGGACAGAATTACTTGCCAAACAATATGTGTAGCATGATTCGGTTTTTGAAAAGAAAAATAACACATAGACAAAAAGAGTAGATGGATATACAGATATACACTAAAATGTCTATGGTGGTTATCTTTGGATGGTGGGGTTTACATGATTTTCCTTTTTTCCTTGGTGCTTTTCTGTATTTTCCAAATCTACAGTAAAACCACGCTACTTGTATGATTTTTTTTAAGGAAAACAGTATGTAGTCAAGTTTATCATTTCTAAGATTAATCACATTTGAAATACATACTTTGGAAGTCTGTATTCTTTATTTTAGTAAATGATGAAACTGAGGACTGGCAGCTCTCAGAAATGTAGGTCCATTCAGTGCGGTCAGTTAACCCAGTGCACGCTTCCCTATAGTGAGTGCAGTGCCATTTTACTTCAGATAGCAGACAGAAACACAAACAGAACTTAGAATATACCTTAACAATTTCCGGTATTGTAACACCAATAAAATGCTTAAACTTCATGTTGTCATAGAACACACACACAAAAATGCTTACTCGGTGGGGAAGACAAAACCATTTTCAGCCAAAAACTGAAATTCCAATCACTGACAACCAAGCCATTTTACTTCCCTCTCTGCCTTCATCCTAGTAGAACCGGTGATGGATTCTTCTATACATGATGAATGGATTCTTGAATGAGTGGCGTAATTATTTGCAGAAAGTGTACAGATTCAAGAGTCAGGAATGGAAAGCAAAGCTAGAAAGATTGTCATGAGAGGCGAGCAGCGGGTCGGGCCAGCAGGATGGGCAGTAGTCATGTTAGGGTGGCAGGCTGTCTAGGTAACAGGCTCCAAGCCTGGCTGAACCTCACAAAGCCCAGGGAGCTTCGTAGAACGCAGATTTCCGGGCCCCGCTCACAGATGCTCAGGGAAGTGAGTAAAGTTTAAAATAAAAACAAGTAAGCAGAATGTAACCAAAATAGATTTAGACCATGGAAGCCCTGAAAGACTGCCTGTAACTTTTACCCCAGCCCTCAGCGACCTGTGGTGGTGCCACCTCGCTGCTTCAGCTGGGCATAGCGAAATCTAGGAATTTTCATTCCTACCCTCCAGTCCCATCCTGTGCTGAATGGTCAGAGAGACTTCCCGGCACGGAACACAGCTGGGATGCCTATGGAAAGGGGCATTTTCAGGGTTATGGAATCTCAGTCCACCCCTTTTGTCTGTAGGACAGAAGACCATTCTCTGCACTGGGCGTTTGCATTCACCCACATGGGGATGAGGGGAGAACAGCCAGGGGCCATCTCACCCCTTTCTTGATTTCCTTAAAGTAGCTTCTGGAAGTTTCATTTTAAAAAGGGGAATCTACAGCTTTAAGAAAAGGAAAACCGTTGGTTCTGCAGACCCTTTCTAACTGTGATTTTGAAGTTCTACATGATGTGGCCAAACCGGGAAAACCAGACGGAGAGGTAGCAGTGCGACTCTCATCCACAGGAAGCTGTTTCCTCTCCAGTGCTGCATGTTCATGTGTGATTCCTTCCCTGCGCAGAGCAGCCTGAAGGGCACTGTGAACTCAGCTATGTAATAGTCAAATCTGAATGTTTAATAGTATCAGCTGACTATTAAAAGGAGGCAGTCACCTAAACGTTTCACGTAACTATTAGTTACTTATTTTCAACATTTTTTATAAAGGACCATTAAAATACATTTTAACTGCTTAAAGTGACAAACTTACTTACAATGTGTGATTTGTGAACACTACCCCAGTTTCAGAGATTCATGGCAGGTGGTCTCTTTGTTAACCTGCGACTCCGGGGGGGCTGTCACCAACCAGAGCGCTGATGGAGTCTGGGTGAATGAGTGAACACCTCTAAGCAGGTGGGCAGCTCTCTGTCCTCCACAGGCCCTGCCTCACTCTCCATGTTAACATCAGTACCGTACCCATGTGCCACCAGCATGACACATCTGTGAGCCTTTTGAACTTGACCTTTGTTGTATATTATGGAAAATTTGTCTGATTCTAGAAAATAATAGCAATTAAAAATTGTAATTACCATTATCACTAGTACCAGGGAATATTGTAGATCATAACCCCACATTCTAAAAATCTTTCATGTATAATTTATACTGGTTTTACATAAACAGAGCCTTATTCATCGTCTGTTTTTATTTTATAGTCATACCCCATGGTATTGCAGTATCGACCAAGAATTGATTTCGGTTAGACCAAGGGGCGCAGATCCCATCGAATGAATCCTGCACTATGTTTTACTCATCGACAGATTGACAGTGAACTATGTGGACTAGAGGGACACAACCAGATTCTCAGCATGCGAATAAGGCCGTTGTCTGTCTCTAAATTATCAGTTGCATTTATGTTGTTTCTATTAGGAGCAAACCAAGTGCCATTCTGCTACTGACCCATCTGCATACGGCATTTGTGCTGTCTCCCAGTGTACAATACAAGTCAAGGTCGAAATCAGCTAGGTGCGCAGCCGTGATTCGGCCTTCTGAATATTTTGCTTGCCTGTTCCAGGATTGTTCTAATGTTTGATTATTACACTAGTAAAATGGCTCAATCTTCGTGGTGTTGCAGTTTTCACATACTTACTATTTGATTAATTTTTTAAGTAGAGTACTGTACAAGAAACTAATAATTATTATATCTTGAAATTATTTTGTATGGGAAATATATTTAGAAAAGTGGTTTTGGAGCCACTGTCCTGTTCTCAGTAAGCTTTTTGTGTGCAAAATAGTTCACCCTTCAGTGTACACAAGTCCTTTGGGAAGAATTCCAATTATTCTTTAACATTAGAGCACAGTATACAGTATAATTGTAAGCATTTTAAGTCATCTGTCTCTGTAGTCGACCAATTGCACAAGGAGGGACCTGTTCACCCACCAGATTGAAAATGTGCATGACTTCTTGGAGAACTGAAGTGAGATTCACAACCATTCGAAATGTTGGCAGCTGATCACATTTACTTCTAACAAAATTAATGTGTAAGTGAGGTCAGTTTTTCATGATGCCTTACAACGAGCAGGTGCCGCTTCATGAAATGTCACCGTCATGTGTGTAGCCCCTCTGTGTGCACCATTGTACTGTGGCTCTTATCTAACAAGTACATGGCTTCTCTTTTCAGTTGGCCTTAGGTGTGTGTCACTGTGGCATGCAGAAGGTTATGATGATTTTAAATATTAGGATTTTTAGAGCAGATAACTAGCTATTTTATGGATTTCAAAAATCTCAAAGCAATTATAGATGAAACCTGTTAGTTACCTGTCACATTTCCAAACCACATGCATAAACTAGAACAAATGCAGTGTAGTAGACCAATTATACTAACCACAATGAATGGTTTGAGGATATTTCATTTCAGATCCTGTAGTAATCGGGGAAATGGGTTTACTGTTTTATACGTAAGTTCTTTAAGGTCAGAACTATGATAATGTCCTTGATCTAGCAGTTTTGTTAAGTCTTCCATTCATTTTGAGGTAAGTCTGCAAGTCAAAAAGTCTTGTTACCCTAAATTATATGAAGAACTTCACTTTAAACCTTTTAAAATTTGCAGTTGTTTTCATAAATTAAGTTTTATTAATTGCTTTAAAACAAAGTTAATGGATTCTGATATTCTTGGAAGTTGGGAAAAAAATGTTTTAGAAATCTGACATGAGCACAATCTGTGTGTTATACACATAGCTTTTATACTGTATACATAGTAAATGTGCTACATTTTCTAGTAAAATGTATCACAAATTAATGCTTTCTGATCTCAAAATGCTTCTTAATAAAACATTGTACAACTCTAAGAAACATACAAAATACAGCTAAATCTTGATGCATTTCACAATATAAAAGGCTGAAACTTCATAATTATCTTTTCCATATATCTTGGTTTCAAGTCAAAAAGTCTAAAGTTTTCTGTTTTGGGTCTGACTTTTGTGAAAAAGGTTATGACAGTACTTTTAAAATTTCATTTTGTTAGATTGTGTTTGCGCTTGGAAGGGCTCACAAATGGAATTTGAAAGGCAGATTTTCATTAACTCTTTCAAAATGGTTGAAACAAACCATTACACTAAACCAAAAGCTGAATTTGCTCACTAGCTACCGAAATTATTCTGCTGTGCTGTGAAATCCAGTTCCCTGACTTCCTTAAGCAATTTTTAAATTTCTTATAAATTTGTCACATCTAGGTTGGTGATTACATATGAAAGTTAATTAACTAAAAATGAATGGAGAGCGCATTTAAAAAAAAAACGCAAACGAGACCTAGATGTTTTGGGGTCCCCAGCCAAAACTTACAGCCTTACGTGAGTTTTATATACAATCTCTTTAAATTTGACCTGTTGCCTCATCCTATGTAATGTCACTATTTTCCAAGGAAATATATAGGAAGCAATTATGGAATTGAGAATAGTTTTATATAAAACTCCTTAATTTAATGTTAACGTATTAACATTTTTACTGAAATGCAATGGAATATGTGCCAAAACATGTGAAAGCCTTGCATAACAAGGGGCATCAGTTGCCATGTGGGGAAAGGTACACATTTTATGATGGTCCTGAGTAATGTGGTAATAGTAGAACCACAGACTTCTCCCAACTTCTTTTGGTATATTCAACTATAATTTTCTAAGTATGGGACTACTTTCATGTCTAGTAATTCTCTAATCCCTAGTTAATTATCCCCTAAGTCAGGTTGTGGAATTTGCAAGAAACCAGGTATAGAAAAAATACACAGGCAAAAATATACAGGTGGTTAGTTTCACAAACTTAGGGTGCTAATAAAATAAACTCTTTATACAAATAACCTATAGGAATAATCATCTTGGAGAATAAAACTAAATTAAGTTTTTCTTTAATCTCATTTCTTAAGCAACAAACTGATAAGAAATTTGTTTCCATAAAAGATTTTGTAAGTAATCTGTTTTCTCTGCTTTGGATATAAAAGATGTACAAGGATCAAGGAACCTCAAATCTACAGAAGGTCTGTAGTTTATAGACATCACTTTAACTGAAGTAATCACATTAGTTAATAGAAAAATCCAAATATGGCCCTTTCTCTAGATTAATGAAATACTTTCAAGAAGTATGAAAAAATAAACTAAAAGATTCATTGATGAGGTACTATTAGGTTATTCACTCTGGGGTCCAGGTACCTTGGGTAAATGTCTTTTAACTACTTTTAGAAGACTATATTATTTCTTTATTCATTGAAAACTTGTCCCATACTAATATGCCACATTTTATAAATGTAATAAGTTTGCTCAACTATATTATTCACTTAAGTGTAAGCTAAATTAAAATGATTCTTTAAGGGGGAAAAAAGTGTTATATAATATTGTGAACTGTTTAGCTTTATTGAACTATTTAAGAGAAAGTGCCTCATTGCTAAAGTGCATTTCTGTTTTAGATTTACTGCATAAATTTTGAGTTCTGTCCCTGTCTCTTATCAATGGCTTTGTATCTAAATAGGCTGTTGTAAGTTAGAGTAATCTCTTTTTGAAAGATTTTCATAGGAAAATAGATATCACCAAAGACATTTTACTGTTAATAACCATGTTAGACAGTTTTAAATGTTTGGAGGTTGGAAATTTTTAGATTGCAATTTACTTTTATATAATTAGGCAATAACCTTGAGTAATTGCTAAAATATCACCAAAGAAAGGCTTTAAACTGAATTTTCGTGGTAAGATCAATCAAATGCAGATTTTTCTTGCAGCAATCAGAGCACACTTCCTTTCAGTTACGTTCCTTGTTTTTCCAGCACCATCTGACAGATCTTAGGAAATCCTCAAAGGTGAGAAAGAGATTAACACAACAGATAGTCTCCCTCTGGATGAAAAGTGGGAGAAATCCCTACTCTGAAAGTGAAATTGAGATTTAGTTCCCAAGTTCTTAGTGACATGAGAAACTTTACACAAGACAGGCTTTAGTGAGAGTGCTGACATGCTTACTTGTGTAGAAAATAGTACATGCTGTTGGGCTTGCGTAAAAGTAAACAGCTCGTTCTGTATTCAAAGGCAAAATTTTCCTAAAGGCCTGTGGTTTTGGTTTTGGTTTTTTTTTCCAAGTAACTCTTTGTCTTGTTTCTCAGCAATTAGTTTATTGTTGTTAGAATCTAGCCATACAGCCGAATTTGGCAAGACGGGTCCCAGATGAAAAGCATAAACGTCAAGTTAAGCGCTCTCCTCACACGGTTCTTTTGGGGGAGCTCGTGCTGTGGGCCACCTCCAGTGAAGCTCACACGATAAATATACGTCTTTTCTGAGAGGCCACTAGGTAAACCTCCTTGGATAGGAAAAAAATGGATGCGCTCCATGACATACTCTGGTTTATCATGAGGAATTTCCCAGCAGGCTGTGCTTTATACCAGTGAGATATTGGTTGTAGGAATTGCAAAAATGAGTGTTTGCCATATCTAAGTTTCTGGGTTAGAAACACAAAAGCATGAAATGCTATTATTTTAAGATATATATATCCTTACAATAAGGAACATAACATGTCTGTCAGATCTGGTTTATGAAAAATTGAAAAATATTAAATGTACTAGAGACTCAAACCCTTTGAAAGCACAAAGTAACCAATCAATTCTGAATTTACTTGATACAGGTCAGTAGTATTTTGCTGAAAAAAACTTCAGGCTGAAAGTTCATTAAAATGTACTTAAATATACATTACAGGGTTTTCCTAGTTTTTCCTTAAAGCAATGTCATTTTCCCAACAATTTGAAAGTGATTCTCTTCCTAGTGTGAGGTGGTTTTCATGAGCAGTGTGTTTATTTGCTGTCCTTATTATATTTTTGAATAGAATTAAAATGCTTGAGCACTTCCTTTTCAGAAAGTTATAAAATTAAACAAAAATAAATTATTTAAGTGTTCATTAAAATGTACCTATACTTGTTATGCCCCTTTTTCTAGGATTCAGAACTTGAGACACTGTTCAGAAATGATTTTTAAGTATTTTAAAAATCTTGAACCTAGAAATCTAAATCTAGAGTCAAGTGAACCATTAAAAATACTGGGTCCAGTGTTCTTCCATCTTTCAGAGCTTCATGGCATACGAAACTGACCCAGTATGAATTGAAGATTAAATATTTCTGGGCGATGTAGAGATAGTAAACAGGATATTTATGCATGGACTTCCCATCAGTCCATGCAGCAGGAGTTCTACACATTAGAAATTGAATGGGCTCAGCCGAACATTGTGTGGGGTCAGTTTCTTTTGCTGTATTTTTTTGAATGGGGAGGGGGTCCCAAGTGTCCTTATGAAGCTGTGGTCAGCGCCGAGAGCTTGTGGGGGGGGCACCAGTGTCCTGCTGCGTTCCTTCATCTGGCAGCACAACGAGCACCGTCTTCAGCGGAGTAGCCCTCACTTTAAATAAAACCATCATAGGCTATATTGTACAGTTATGTTGCAGATTTTCCTTTGAAATATAAAATATTTTAAGCTTTTTGTTGTTGTCGTCGTGGTTGTTAAAAGTGGTAACATCTTAATACAAATAAAAACCTTTTTGTGGTTGTAAGATTTAGCTTATAAATCATTCAAATTGAAGTGAAAGATTACCAGGTCATTGTTAATGACTTAGTCTATTAAGAATATATGTATTTTTGTAAAGGAAAAGCACTTGTAGATATTTAATCAGTACTATATGTCTGTTTTGCAGAAATAAAATGCTGCTTAGAGATCCTCTTTAAATATTTTTTATTTTTGTGCTCAAATGTATTTTCTGTTGATCTAGGGAATGTTCTGTACAAAGCTGTGTGGTTGTGCTGTTGGGCTAGATACTTTTGTTTTTTAAAATCTGGACTTAGCCAAGTATATTTGACCATGTTAAAAATAGTATCTTTGTTATTAAAAAGTCGATTGCATAATTTATTGTCTGTCATCCTTTGTATCAGTGGTTGCAGATCACAGCCTCCATTGTACAGCCTCCACTAAGTACTATTGTAGCAATTTTATGAATGCTGAATATTTGAGGTGCTAAGCATTTCCTAAAGACTTTCTGAGCTGTTTAGTTTTAAGATGTCACACTGACCCTTGAATAACACTTGAGGTGTACGGACACTTCAGCACAATTTCTCATTTTGTTAAGTTAATCAGATCCAAATCATCTTTTCAAAATAATTATCAAAGGCCCAAGTGATTTGAAAGACAGACTGCTTTCTTTAGCAGGTTAGATAGCAGCTTGGTTTTATTAATGCCTTGCCTCAGGAAATTCTATCTGGGTAAAGTGAGACTCAGATGTCTGCCTAAAGCTTTGTCTTAGATGAGTGATACCAAGGAGGTGGCTGGAGACCCCAGGCAGTCGCCGAGATGCGAGATACGGAGCAGCATCCTCCAAGCAGCACCCCCCTCCCTCCGCCTTCTGGCTTTCCCCTGCTCAAGGCTGTTGCAGGGAAGGCAGACCCGAGAGGGCCACGCGTGGGAAGCGCTCAAAACAGAGCCCAAGTTACTTGTATCCCGTGTCGTGGGCCAGAACCAGTGAGGGCCTTGGAAGGCTGGAGGTCGCCCCAAGGAAAAGAGAAAACAGTTTTGCGGCCTGCTCGTCAGTCCCCGTCTCACCTCCACTTGAGGAAAGGCTCAGTTCACCCAGTTGTGTTTTGTCAGCACAGACTCAGCCCTGCCCTTTTCACCAGTTTAGTAAGGTGTGGAGAAGTCTGCACCCCAGTGAGGCCTGAGAAGCCAGGGGCCCACCTCTGATGGTTATGGCGCAGAGGGGTACTTTGCTGAAAGCCACGTAGAACCCCGCTTGACACCCAGTCCCCTGCTGTGGGCTTTAGGGTGCTGGGGTTGCCATCAAATGGAGCATCACACTCCGAGAGGAGAAATAGCAAATGCTCACCCTCAGCCCCTCCCCCAACCAACGCCCTGTTCCTACAGCCAGCTGAGCTGGACTTTCTCCTTCTGTAACACTTTTATCACAACCACAGTAATTGGTGTTTGTCCTCACATTCGATTCCAAGCTTTGAGAAGGATGTTGACAGTCATTGTGTGTCCTCCCCCTCACAACACATTTGCTACTGGCACCCATAAAACCGATGTAGTGGAAGAATCCAGATTTCAGAAAGCAGAGGCAGTGCTAACAAGAGTCCAGCCATGTCCCCAACAGTCTCCTGGCATCCTTCCTCTTCCTGTAAGGACATCAGTCATACTGGATTAGAGCCCCACCCTTATGGCCTCATTAAGCTTGATTACCTCTTCTAAGGCCCTGTCTCAAAGACAGTCACACCGTAAGATCCTGGGGTTAGGGCTTCACTGTTCAGTTCACAACAGTCACGTGATAGACCTGGGTTCAAGTATACAGTCATTTGTGGCTTAACGTGGGGCAATTTGCTTAACTTGGCTGAGTCTCAGTTTCCTCTGTAAAGCAGGAACTATACCCCTGCCCCATAGATTTGTGGAGGAATGAGAGGCCACAGGAAGTGCTCAGAGCAATGCCAGCGGAAACAAGAAAGAACAGCACAACCATTTTCCATCTTCACCTGATCATCTACAGACTGCAACCTGGTGGAGCCACACCAGTGTTCCCTCTGACTTGCTGTGAGCTAAAATGCCACGCAGTAACTCAAATCTTGCTTACTGAGAGCCATTCCAGTCACATGGTCATTCTTAAAACTTACTCCCACTGAATGCACTGATTAGGAAAGGATGCACATAGTAGGTACTTTACAAATGTCTTCCCTTACTCTCATCCACTTAATCAGCAGAACAGACCTATGAGGTAGGCATCCTCAGCCCGGTTTTAATGATGTGAAAGTGACCTAGTCACTCGCCATCACCAGAGATGTATTTGGGTCTCCAGCGTGGACCTTTCTTTCTCCAGGGCCGATTCTGTTCTCTGAGAGCCTGGCTCTGCCTCTGAGAGCTCTAGAGAAGATTACTTTCGGGCCCTCCTGCCACTCCAGGATGGATCGCAGTAGAGAATGAACGCCCGGCAGCCAGTATGTGCCTGAGATGACACGGTGTCTGTGTCGTTCCTGTGGTCAGCGCTGGTTTGCACGCCCACTGTATACCAGGTGCCGTGCTGGGCTCTGGGCAGACAGGTGGTGAACCGGACAGATTCCACTCTCATGTCAGCTGAGCTCCCCAGGGTGGGGAGGAAACACGCATTAAACAAAGACAGTAAGTACGTAATAAAACGAATGGTAAGTGTTCTGAAGAAAATAAGTTCTATGGGAAGGCGTGGGAGGGCCAGATCCTTCTGAGAAAATGACATTAAGCAGAGACAAAGAGAGGAGCTGGCCTGGCAGCGCCATGGAGAGAGTATTCCTGAGAGTGAGTAAGAACACTGAGGACCCGGCGGCGGGAAGCCAGGGGAGTGACCGGGATGGGGGCGACGGGAGAGGATTCTGGAGAAGGCGGCGGGGGCTGGATCACTAAGACACTTTAGGCTCTGCTTAAAAGCTTCTGTTTTATCCTGAGCATGATGGAAGGGTTTTAAACAGGGATTGACATCATCTTGTTTACCCATTTAAATGATTATTCTGGGAGTTTGTGGAGAGCAGATGGTAAAGGGGTAGGGGCTTGAGTAGCCACGGGGACAAGTTAAAAGCCTAGAGCAGTATAGCTAAGAAAAAGCAGAGGTATCCCAGGCCAGTGGTGATGAAACTCAAGATGAACATGAAAGACAATGGCGAGAAATGGGTTTCTTTGCACACATCACCTGGAGCTGGGCAACGATGTGCCTAAATTTAATGAAACCTAAATTCTTAGGTCACAGGTGAAGCTCTAGTTGGGGCTGGGGAGTCCAGACCAAGAGGGTGGGATGAAGCCAAGAAACAGAGGGGAGCAGCCACACCCAAACTGCCAGCATTTCCTTAGAAAGCTGAGCGGGAGGGTGGCAGGAGCAAGGGAAGGGAGGCGGGTTCTGTTTGGATGGGAGAGAAGACCCCGAGAAGCCTTATAACGGGGCTCCCACAGAGTCCGCCGCACAGGCCCCCCTCCCCCGCAGAGGCCCAGCCAGCACCCGCACAGGATGCCGGGGTGCCATCCTCAGGAGCCGCTGCCTTCCTCCTGCCCAGAGGGAGTCCTTGCCTGCTCCTTCCTCATAACCCTTTGCACAGCCCCATCCTGTGGAATCCTGGATTCCAAATACATCCTGTAGCCTCTGGCCTTTAGATTCCTCTGGGTGTGTGGACTCCAGGCAAGTGTCCCCACACCACAGCCAGGTACCTCCTATCAAGCCCTCCTGGGATGCAGCCCCACTCCCCCTAGACGGGGCCAGCACCCACCCCTTCTCTGCCTTGAAGAAAGGTGCTCATAGCCCAGCTCGCTCCACAGAAAGCCTCTGTGTAAACCTCCCTCCTTGACTCCTGCAGTATTTCTTTGAAAACGTGAAGGAAAGCCTAGCTGGTGACCAGAAGCCCAGGCAGCTCGTAATCACCGAGACTGAGTGGACTCCTCCCTCTGCCTTCCCTAGGCCGTGGCTCTCTCCGTGGTCACCTTGTCCAGAGGCAAGATGGCACATGGCCTGTTGGCCGCAGCACAGCTCCCGATGGTGCCGGCAGATGAAGAGACCCACCTGCACCCCACCAGCATCCAACCCAGACTGAGGGGCTGAGGCCCTGGTACCAGCCCAGGTCAGACTCTTTTAAAGCAGCTGCCCCCAGAGAAGAAAGGGTGGGCTGAGGCGGGGAAAGTGAAATCCTGTCTGAATTTCCAGAATCCAGTTTGGCTGCCGACTCTCTGGCCCTCTGAGCCAGGACGCAGTGATCCAGCCAGGGCCTGGGAAGGGGTAAGCAAAACCAGCATCCGGAGGGGTGGATCCCTACGATGCGGGAGGCTCTACTGTCTGCTTGCAGACTTGGTACCAGCTGTTCTGGGCTGGTTAGTACAACCTCCAGCATCAAACTGTCTGTTTCTCAAGCTCCCCACGGGGAAGCAGTTGGGTGAGCAGCTGCTGGAGGGATCGGGGGAGCATTCTGGGAAATTTTCCCTTTCAGGCTGACCAAGAAGTGAGATGGAAACAGCCCAAGGACAGTGGCTCTCTCTGGTTAGAAATGTGTTCATTGAAGAGCATCTCGAAGCTGCCACTGGGGGTTTCCACCTGAGGTAGCCCCAGAGCCCAGGTTAGGTGGGGTGGTGACGGGAAAGTGAGCAGGGATCCAGGAGTCCAACCAAGGAGGGCTTCACTCCCAGTTCAGCTGCTCACCAGCTGTGTGACCTCGGACAAATCACTTCCCCTCTCTGGTCCTGCCTTGGCTACTTTACTCTGTACCTCCCTTCTTGTGACACCCATCTCAACTGCGATTACCCGTGTAGCATCTGTCTTCCCAGACAGGCTCCCTGGGCACACAGGCCAGTCTATGTGATTCAGCTCTTCATGTGCCTGGCCCATGGCAGTGCTCAAGGGAAGAGAAATCTCAGTGAGTTAATATGGGAAGCGACTCTTCTATGTTGTGAACTCACAGATCCTGTGCTTACTGAAGAAATGGTTGCAGAACCACCACTGCCGCTAGAGGGACCCCTGCCCTGGGCTTGCCTTTTAAAAGACCCTGCATACAAAGCTCCAAAACACAAAGACTTTTTCCCCCTTTTTGGTCTTTTGAGAAAATTTTTGGAAAATTCAATAACCGATTGAATGAACAGGAATTAGGGAAGAGGCACATGCCATCTAATTGGGGCTCTCTAGCCACAAGATGTTGGAGGGAGGGGCAGTGGCGGGTCATGGGAAACTAGAGAAAGGGGTGCTGCTTGGTGAAAGCCACATATCCTGGATCTCCCCCAGTGAGTGTCCAAGCAGACAGACGGCTGCACCCCTTCCTTTGCCTCTGCTTAGGTGGGGCATTTGGGGGAGGCCCTGGCTCCCCGGGGTTTTTGACAATTCAGTCTACATCCTAGAATCAGATGGGTTCCAGTGGGTCCAGATAAC